TGCCAAACGCCGCGAGACATGAGCGGGTTTGTTGACCCCACCTCAGAAAAGTTTGCAAACACGTCAGAGCTTGAGTTTTTCACGAAGTTATTTCCCGACCCCCACCAAACACGATTTGGCAGCACTGTAATGAGGCCTGCTGGGCGTGAAGTTTTCCCTTCACCATAGGGTTTACACACAAACTGGTCAAAGTTTGAGCCAGGATATACTAGTCTAAAAATGCAAAAAAACGAACAAATTTTGGCATCAATAGATTCAGCATTTCATCGTGTGCCTCAAACCGTCCATCATTTGGCCTCAAAGGAGGTAAAAATTGTTCAAAATCGAAGTTGAAAAGATGCTTTCTGAGCACATAATCTGGTAGCAATCACGTGACCTGCTATAAGCAGCTTATCGATAATTTACAAACATAATTATTAATATGCTGCTTTAAACAACATTAACCATACATTTTGAGCTTTCAGTACTTCAAATAAGGTCAAAACATCGCAAAACACAAAAGTTAATACAATAGTCACGTGGGTGTCAGGAAATGTCACAGGTGCGTCAAATTTGTGACTGGGGCTTTACTTTCAAACATCGGATCTACCTGTTTCTTAAAGGTATCTTGTTATTTCCTCTCATCAAGTCTTCAAAACAGTACCTGCAGTATGTGTCGTTCGTATATCTCAGAATTTTTGATCTGTGACCTGAGGTTAGGTCAGAGTCGTGACCTTTACATTGCAAGCCTATGGAAAAGTATTGAAATGCGACCTGCACCTCGGGTAAACGAGTCAAAACCACCCAATTCTTTAAGAATAATGACAAATTATCTTATCTGTAATGATCCAGGTGCCATTTACTGACAGGGACACCGGAGAGGGTTATCTGAGCCGAGATCATGTGAGGTGATATCTATCATACATCAATGCTCACAATACTTACAATATTGACAATGCTTTTGCTTACAACACTTACAATACCTACTTACGATGAGACCAGCAAGCACTCTGCCGTTACAGTTCTAACTTCTGTTTCGAAAACCGACGTTACACACATTCGCTGCCAGCATAACATGTATTGCTTGACAGTAACAAAATACAATTGACATCTGAACCCCAAACGGACCGCCATCCACTCAAATTTTATTACCCTGACCGGTCAGGGGGCGAATGGAGGTCATCTCCTGGGCATTACACTCAGCCCTTAAGCTCAGGCTACACTAGCGACGTTTTTTCGGTTTCTGCGGGATTTCGGTTTCCGCGTTTTTTCGGTTTCTGCGTTTTTTCGGTTTCTGCGTTTTTTCGGTTTCTGCGTTTTTTCGTTCCAATCGGAGCGGCCTCTGCGAATGCGTGCTATGCAGCAGCCGCATTTGTGTACGTCGTATTGTCTGATCTGTTGAAGTTGAGCCGCAGTAAATGGATCGTCAAACATTATTAAGAGTTTTATTTTTGCGCCGTGAACGCGAGAGACAGCGACGAAGCCTGTGGGTTCGCCCGGTGCTGTTGCGCCGAGAAGAGTGCGGCGAGTTCCACACGCTAGTACAGGAACTGCGCCAGAATGATCCTGAGGGCCATCGGCGCTACTTCAGGATGAGCGTCAATGAATTTGACGAGGTGCTCGGCAAGATCGAGCCCGTCATCACGAAGGAGATCACGCACCTGAGGAAGCCGATCTCGGCAGCAGAGCGCCTGGCGGCAACGCTGCGGTAAGACCTGAAGCCTCTTCATACTTTCAATGCGCGTATAATTCTCAATGAAACACATAAGCTTGCATAACCAGAAAAGGTGCCTCAATTTCCAATCGACTAATTACGAATATGACATAGGCGCAATGACAACAAAGGACTGACATTTTTTAATTACTACATATGTGTACACCTTTTGCAGTTACCTGGCGTCAGGTGGGACTATGAAGTCTGTGGCAGAATCTTACCGCATAGGCTTCGCCACGATCCGCCTGATCGTCCCTGAGACATGCCGCGCCATCTGGGAGGAGCTCGGACCAGGGCTGATGGGGCTACCGTCGCCCGAGCAGTGGCGCCAGCACGCCCTGGATTACGAGGAGGAGTGGCAGTTTCCCAACTGCTGTGGGGCGGTTGATGGAAAACATATCATGGTCGACAAGCCTGCCAACAGTGGCTCAATGAACTTTAACTATAAAGGGTTCTTCAGCATCGTGCTGATGGCTGTGGTGGACGCGAAGTGTCGCTTTCGCTACATCAGCGTGGGCAGCCACGGTCAGGAGAGTGACGGGGGAGTGTGGGGAGGAAGCGACCTGGGTCGGCTGCTGGAGGACCAAGACAACGGCGGGCCGCCTGTTCTGCCAGGCCCAGAGCCGCTCCCTGGCTCCGCAGTGACCGTGCCTCACGTGTTCGTGGCAGATGAGGCTTTTCCGCTGCGGCAACATATGATGAGGCCATTTCCTGGGTCGCGCCTGACGAACGACCAACGACGTGTCTTTAACTACAGACTCAGCCGCGCCCGTCGGACCTCCGAGAACGCGTTCGGGATCCTCGCACAACGGTGGCGGGTGTTCCGGGGTCCGATCGGGTGTGACGTGGAGGCCGTTAAACTCATCGTCCTGGCAACCTGCGTCCTTCATAACTTCCTGAGAGAGAAGGACATCGAGACCAGACGTGGAGGGCCAGCGGCCTACGGCTACGTCACGCCTGAAGAGCGACGAGACATCCCCGGTCTCCGTGACCTACGTGACGCAGGCGCGTCTCACAATCACCCTCAGCAGGCGGCCCAAGTACGAGAGAAGTACGTCGAGTACTTCAGCGGCGTCGGCAGTGTCCCCTGGCAGCTGAACAGCATTCGCCGCTAGTGAAGAACTGTGGGTGTATCATGTGTGCGTGTACGCCGTGTGTGTGTAACCACTGCCGCTGTGACTCCCATGGCGAGAGCGCATAAGAAGCGGTATGATGTTGGATGTGCCGTTCTTGTAAAAGTGATGATTTGAATTTTGAACTATTCAGTGCCTGGTCGAAACGGATTGACTGTTTCACGCCGTTTACTTGACGATTCAAGCATCGATTCAATGTGTCGTGAAGTTTGAAATATAAGCTGACGATGGTTACGATTGAATGTGTATATCGTAAAGATGATGTCACTGTTACCGGCAATTGCTCTCAAAAACAATCAACAAGCACGGCAAAGCCATGTATTGAATGAATATCAGCAACAAACTACTGTTGGCTGTTGCTAACCAAAACGAACAACTTATATCACAGGGACAGACGACTTAACGAAAGCTGTCTGTCCTTGTGGGCTGTGGCTATCAACGCAACGACAAAACAAACGTTGTCAACTCCAAATTGAACAATAACAGCCATAGGTAAATATCGCAGAAAAGGCAGTCTGTCCTTCATCCCTGCGGATATAAACGCCAGGACAATACATAACAAACATCGTCAGCTACAAAATAAATATCCATAGAGATACATACGGCAAAACAGGTTGTCTGCACACGTAGGCATCAACGTCAAGGCACCAGTTAGTTAAACAAAACAAAAAAAAATCAACCACAGCCACACATACAAACACGTCGCAGTCTCAGCGACTTATGGGTGTCCTTCAGTCCTCGTATTCATCAAGGATCTGCTGGAACGCACGTTTGATCAGTTTTTTGGTGGCCTCACTCCTGTGCTGCAGCTCAGCATACACATTCATACAGAATGTGTAGTCCCTGTCAGATTGTTGTCTCCTGCTCCTATCTAGCTCCTCCAAGATAGCATAGTCTATGTCTGTTGTTTTGCGCTTGCTTCGTGTGCCCGATGTGGTGCGCGGTGTACCTTGTGTATCCGATGTACCTTGTGTGTCCTGGCCACGCGGTGTGTGTGTGTCGTCAGCGGACGGTGTATCTTGTGTGCCAGGCGTGTGTTGTGTGCTCGGAGCGCGTGTTGTGTGTTGAGTCTGGTGGGCGCGCTGCGTGTTCTGTGTCGGTGCGTTTTGTGCGCCCAGAGCGTGCGTTGTGTCGTGCACGAGCCGTGTGCCTTGTGTGCCCGGTGTGTGTTGTGTGCCCAGAGCGCGCGTTGTGTGCTGAGTGTGGTGAGCGCGCGATGTGTTTTGTGCCGGTGCGTTTCGTGTGCTCAGAGCGCGCGGTGTGTTTTCAGTGTAGTCAGCGCGCGATGTGTTTTGTGTTGTATCATGTGAGTGCGGTGTGTCGTCTGTGTTCTCCTCAGTCACTTCAATTTCATATTGGGTATCTTCAAGATACAGGATGTGAGGGTGAGTGTTGGTCTCAGCCCCAGGATCACCTCCAGGATCATCTCCGCCTCCATGTGAATCCAGCCGGAAGGTCATAGATGAGGTTGTACTGAAAAGGAAAAAATATGGAAATAAGGAAAGGTTTGGGACGATGAATGTGGAATGGAGAAAACCGCGCCGGACCGGAGGGGGTGGGGTTCTGAACATCACCCAGTCTCGGCTCCTGGACCAACGTAGCGACAAACGGCGGAGCCATTTTTCAGATATCTGCGAAAAACCACTCGGGGGTGTCCACTGTCCACCCCCCCCCCACCCTCTCCCCAGCCTGGAGCGGGTTAAATCAATATGGGGCAATTCCTTAACTCTGATGATTAAGTTTGGATAGAAACACACTAACGTTTCGGCAGATAAGGGAAAGGAACTGATGTGAAATATGCATTGGGTACAAAATGAGAGAACATGGCTTCAGTACATATTTCAGGCAGGCGAGCTGATGAAGTCATGGAGGGAATCATGGTTGCATTTCAGAACAAGGAACATAAGTAATCGAGTGATAAGAAATATAAAATAAACACTATGGGAGGTCATGGTAACAAAAGGTACATCCAAGTTACTATGCATGGAACTATTACCTTGAATATTTCAGCAGGACAATGACAAACTGTCAATTCTGACCTGTGTGACAATATAGAATGATGGACAAAGTCAAAGGATGGCTGGATGGAGGACAAAGTAGGTATGGATATTGCACATCTGTTTAATACTCACGGCCCACGCTGGGTGCTGGGGTCCAGAAATCTGAGCATATTCCCATAGGGTCCTAGGTGCTGATGGCCACCTGCAGGTGCTGCTGATCCACTGGGCAGAGTCTTCCTTTTTCTGGCCAGATAGTAGTCCCGCAAAGACTTCCACCTCTCTTTGGCAGCTTGCACTGATGATGGAAGGAGAGTATTGTTACCATTTCATTTCATCCAACAGAACAAAATGTCACCAATAGAACTAAATTGGTGTGCACTGTGCAGAATATAAAAACGGCTTAATTTTGGCGCAAACAGGCATCAAACTGTCGGCTAAAACAACAGAGAAATTTCGGCGCAAAACCAACTGCGCAGAATTTCAGTTTTCAGCGGATGAGGGTCTAACAGGCGTCAGGCATAGTGCATTGATGCTTTCCAGTCTGGATCGATATCAATGTATAATATATTGCAAAATAAAACACACTGATTGTGCCAAACCAATCAATAAAGGCATCTCTTTGTATCTTGATCTTCTAAATTCAATCTAAATACCCTTTCTTCTTCGTGACTATGATGTTTAGACCATTTAAGTTCAATAGTGTACTTGAAAAAGCCCATTTCAAGGCATGTAACCACCAATTATTGCAAGCTCAAGTGATATCAACTGAAAACCTCAGCTGCGTAGGTAGCCAGCAGTCAGCACTCACCATCACATCTGCACTCAGCTGCCACTCTTTGCCAATCAAGATCTTTTACAGTCTTTTTCTTTGCATAGTCCTTCGACTTTTTGTCCCACAAACCTGGGTACTTCCTGACTGCTTCAATTATTGATTCGTTGAAGTCCATTTCTGCAACAAAGAAATGCCAGTGATCTGGAGGTTGTCAAACATTCAGTACCTAATAACAACAATTATTTTAGTGATTTTCTCCTTCTGCACCATTTATTAACTTTAATTCTTAAAATGGAAAAAACACATCCTTCCAAGCTTGACGAATAAGACCACACATTTATAATTGTTACTATTTACACAAAACATTTATATCTTAACACCCAGCCACATGTTGTCAGGCATAGGCGGCGGAACGGGGAGGGCACCATGCCCCCCTTTGATTCTGGCATTTTAACATTAGCCCTATGGGCATTGCATGGAAAGAATGGGACCAAAAGTCAGCAGTGCCCCCCCCCCCCTTAATTGAAGGTGTTCCGCCGCTACTGTTGTCAGGCTAGGTTATGTTACGTTGGTAAAATTAGGTCAGGTTAGCTTAGGTTTTGTTATTTCTGCTCATGATGTAGCTAATTTTTTAGCTTTACATGATCATGTGAACAATGTTCTAGATTGATAGTTGGTTTGTGACAATATGGTGTTGTCTTCATTCAGTATGGAGCCCAAGGTGCAATTTCGGGAGACTTCACAAAGGGCGATTTCACATTCTTTTCATGTGCTTAGTTAATGCGTGCAAAAATAATACAAATCAAAGCTTGAGCTTCATATTTCTCCTTGAATTTTCCACACCATCAGTGCAACTGAAATGCTGGAGCCACCAAACTACCCAACTAATTTAATTATAACAATTCAATTCATGTGAAACACATTAGTAGGGTGAAGTTACAGATTGATTTTCATTTGATTATAACAACATTCAAATTACCTCCACTCATTTCTCCATCTTCATCTCTCGTGGCACGTTCCATACTGATGCGTAGGTAGGTGAATATCCAGAACAACTTAACACAGAAAATACGACTATAACCTACACAAATCGGATGAAAACTGACACCTACTCAACCTTCTGTCACTTCAAAAAAGGCAGAAGTAAACAAAACAAAAGAATGCCGCTGTGCGCCATAAAATGTCGCGTGGAACGATATCCCGCAGAAATCGAAAAAAAGTTCACGGCTCTGAACTTTTTTTCGGTTCCGACTCGTCGGTTTTTGCGGGTTTTCGTTCCACGGGACGCCAGACTGGCAGTGTAGCTTGCGCAATGCTTTCGCTATGAGGCGAACTTTACGACGCGAACCGAAATCCCGCAGAAACCGAAAAAACGTCGAAATTCATGCTAGTGTAGCTTAGGCTTTACACAAAATATCTCACCTCACAGTGATCATTACAGCAATAGCACCGACTTGATAGTGGATTTCAAAGTACTTGCATCAGCTCTTCCTGCTATTGCAGACGATCATCTCCTCAGGGTAATGTTGTTCGGGACATGAACTAAGATCGTTTTCGGAGTTTCATAAGTGCTACTGCAACAGCCTGGCACAGAACAGGACTTGTACGCTCTTCTCTGCACTTTGCGCTTCAGTATATCACAAAAGAATTGTTTAGAATCCATCTTACGCTTCTTTCACAGTCTCCCTTGCCACCGTATGGGCGTAGATAGATTGCTGTTGCTGGTAAGTTAAGGCACGGTAGATAGAAATTGCCTCGGCTCTCAACGCCTTAAGCTATTTTCATAAAAAAGAACAAATAAATGATCAATAAGATGACAGGAATGTAAACATTTTAATCGTAAAGTAGTCCAAATATTGGAATGAGCTTTTGCTTTTCAGCATCCTCCGATTCATCATCTTTATCATTTGAAAATTCGAGGTACATAAAATGTTTATCACGCGCTCAATGTTAAGTGGGAATATAGTACACGGCAGACACATCAATTTTTGACACTGAACATTTCATCCGTAAATGTTTTAGCATAATTTAAAGTTAAAAACAGCGCGAATGGCAGAGTGAAACAAACAACATCTTTCACCCATTGATATAACATGTAATCTGTGGTGCGCCAGATGCGCCATTATTTGTCAACCGCAGAAGGTGACATGTGACGTAACAGCATCAAGAGCATCTTTTTTCAAGAACTTTTCAAAACAAGTTTCCTACCTTTCTTCCCCCATTTCTCCCAGGATATTGATTTTATGAGGCAATGGTATGCACCATAAATTATGTGAAAATAGTTTGATCATTTTCATGCATTCTTAAAAAATCGAGTTCCCAACCCCATTGAATGACGAACTTTAGCGCATCTATGGCCATTTCTTTTTTGGAACGCTGAAAAGGAAGCGGAGGCAGGAGTGGAGGGATACGTACCGTTTTGTCAAGTCACAGAACATGACCGTGATTTTATGAGTTATTGCGCCAGGAAGCACCTCCAGCGCGGCTGAGGCCGCCGCCACCACCGCCAGCCGCGCCGAGGCGAGCACCACCGCCAGCCGCGTCGAGGCGAGAGCCGCCGCCAACAGCGCCGTGACGCGCACCGCCACCAACAACGCGAGGACCAGCGCCACCGCCAACAACGCGAGGACCAGCACCACCGCCAACAGCGCGAGGACCAGCGCCACCGCCAACAACGCGAGGACCAGCGCCACCGCCAACCACGCCGAGGCAGAAGAGCAGGAAGAAGAGCAACATACAGAACACAAGAAGACTCGGAAAATGAGGAATGAGCGAGAATGAAAAAAGCAATGGTAATTGTTTACAAAGTAATATAAAGGCATGTGTCGGGTGGGCTACCATTTATATATTTTCATTTTTAGTTAAAAAAAATATTCATAGTGTCAGGGCTGTGACGAAAAATAAGTGGCCTAAATCCGATGAGAAAACAGGATTTGGGGGTACCCTAGGTTTGGCTCCTGCATGAGTTGGCCCCCCCAAAAACGCAAGCCTGGATCTGCCAGTGCTAGGTTTAGATCCAGGGCTAACGGGTGTCTACTAATTTTTGGCACAAAACTAAATGTCTCATAAATCACATATATTTTGCTCAAACGTCACCAAATTTCACACATGGTTGGAAGCACTCATACTTAACGCTATCAGATCAGTGCAGGCTGCTGTTGACTCCTCGTCGCTCGGCACGGCGCACGCGATCCGGGACCCTCTCCATCATGGTGCGCGGCACCTCCTCTCGGATCGAACGAAGAACCCTCTGAATACGGTTCTTCAGCTGGACTTCTAATGCCACTCTCCATCCGCCCTTGTATACTTCTTGCTTGACGATGCCCCAGAAGTCCTCGATGGGGCGCAGCTGAGGCACGCAGGGCGGGTTTTCATCACGCGCAACAAACGGCACCCCAGCCTCCTCCAGAAGCGTGACCGTTTTCTTGGCATAGTGGGCCGGTGCCAGGTCTGGCCAAAAGATAAACCCACCATGAGGGTACTGTTTTCTCAAAAATGGGAAAAGTTTCTTCTGGAGACACTCTCTCTTGGCGGTAGAAGTCGCCCCCTACGTTGTTGCGGCTCGGGCAGATGACAGGGCTTGACACCCCCCTGGGAGAGATCGCCACCCAGACGAGAAGCTTTCTCGGGAACTTTCCCACAGGCCGGAATCTGACGTCATCCGGTACATCTCCTCCAGGGCCAGCGTAGAAGCCGGAGTTTGCGGGCATATAACTTCCTGAGAACGTAAAATAGCTCTCATCATCCATGACCACCTCCAGTTCGGCGTTCCTCGAGAACGACCCACGGGCCAGCCGTCTTATCCGGGTCTTCTGCCGCTTTTCTTGCTCAGGAGTGACCTCGGGCACCTTGATCCTTTTCTTATACTTTATGTTGTTATCATGAAGGATTTTCGCCACATACTGATGAGATACGCCAAAACGCCGGGCCAGCACGCGCAGGGATGTTCCAACGCGTCCCTTGGCGGCATTCAAAAGAAGGCGCTTCTTCTGGGGCCCAAGTTTGGAGGGTTTTGCGCCAGCTTTCCCTTTACCGGCGTGCTTAATGCTACCCCTAGTCTCAATGTTCTTTAATATACGGTAGGCAGTTCTTCTCGACACTCCTGCTACCTCCAGCCGTGACACAAGCTCGCTTTTTGGTAGGAAATGGTGTTCTTTGGCAAAATCGGCCACAAATTCACGAACCTGCGTTTTAGTGAAAGTCTCCATGATAAGTGAATATTGCACGAAGATAAAATAAAAATGTTGTGGTGCGTGCACAATTGTCAGGTCTTCATATGCAAAGAATTTCAGTGACATTGGGTGACGTTAGTGTAAATAAAAATAAATCAAACTTTTGTGCCAAAAATTAGAAGACACCCGTTAGATCATTCTCGGCGTCAAAATTACAGTTTCCATATTTTCCCCATTGACTTGTAATGGTGACGTCACGCGATCGGCCTGACCTCATGTGACCTCTAGGAGAAATCCGAGATATACAAGTTTTGAGACTTCTAGAGGATACTAGGTCCTGTAACTATCATCTCGCTGTGACAGCTCCTCTGGCACCGAGGGCATTGCGGAGTTTCGGTATTTTGGGACTATTGCAGAGGTTCACGTGTGACGTCATAAGTCAGTGATCTGACCTGAGACGGAAATGCAATTGGTTTCCAAAGATGCGTATGGAAGCAAAGATAAGGTGTGCCAAATAGCAGCCCTCTAGCTGTAAGGTGTGTTGAGCTATCGCCAAAAGTCGTGAGTGAAGCGCTACTGACTCCTCCGGTTGGCCGCCGGGGGTTAGGACTTAGGAGGCGTGCATGGTATCGGAAAACCACCTGGTTCTTAGCGAATTTTGCCGATAAAAATACGTTTCTTATGCCGACTTATAGCCAAAAGACGACTGAATCTCAAACCAGTCGTATCCTTGCACTAAATGGCTTGGTTTAGACACGATAGGTCTGGAAAGAAAAGGTCCCATGTATTCTCTATGGGCGCCGCGAGGCCGTTGGCACCAGAGTTTCGGGAAGTGCCCTCACCACAACAGAACGTGCAGATTTGGACACGTGACCAAGCGCATTTGCCGCCACTGTATTTATCTATATTACTATTTGAGGAGCGTGCGTCTGTCCGTTACCGAGGTCCCGACTTGGTGGTGCTTTGCGTGGACTACAGGCCAGACCGTTGCACCTAGCCCGGTGAAATTTGCACAACTTATAGATCAAGGATGCGCGACGTGCCTTTGAGGGGTCTCAGCTCGATCGGATTGATAGGGAGCGCGTGGCGCGTGCTCAAAAAGTGCAAATTCGCGTCATAGACTTTACATGTATAAATCGGCGTGCGAAATCGGGCGAAAATGGCTAATTTTGGCCGACACGGGTCCAGTCCCCGTGCAATATCTTGGTGACCAGGGGTCCGACCGGCACGGGGAAAACAGCATCGTGTACAGAATTGAACGGGCTATTGAATGGTGTGCAATGCAGAGGATAGCACGCGCCACGTGCACCGGAGAGGGCACTTTTATTTGAAAAATTGCGGTTTTTGAGGGATTTTGGAATTAATTTTATTTTTAGGTGACCGTTAAACGGAGCGAGTTGAATCAACGCCTATTTGCAAGAGAAAGGTACCGCCTCTCATATAAAAATTGTGAAAAGCTGATTGATCCAAATCAAGGTGGTGCAAATCACAGGAGAAAATGGTGTTTGTCAATTTTGTGCCACTTTATTAATCACACGGGGTTTGCTGCATAACCTGATACCTTTGGCAATTGAATATGGTACCATTGGATAGAGCATTCAATTTTGTCCAATATTCACTCTTCATTTTTGCATGATTAGCAACAGTATCCTTAAAAATGTAAATGTTGCAGACCATTACATTGTCATTTTTAGCGAAATTCATCGATGGCCTCAAAAGACTTAACGCCAGTTTTCGAATCATTCTAAAGTAGAACGCATGATAATACGACACGGGCACCTCGATGCGATGTATCTTTTTGTTTTCTTACAAAATGCTTGGCCGTCAAAAAG